TGGTGGTCCAACTCTTCGTCCCTTTGGAGAGACGCGACCCTGCTCACCCAGTGCCCAGCACCAGACCAGCTCTCCTATCTCCAGGGAGAGCTGACCCAAACAGGCAGTGCCACAGGCAGGGAGCTGCCCACTGCATCTGCCTGCAGCCTGCCAGCACCCAGCCAAGCCCAGCAGGGAAGGCAGCGAGCACCAGCGCTGTCTGCAAGCACAAACAGCTACTTGGAGCCGGCTCAGAAACACCAGCCTGGGCTGTCCCGCTGCCAGCCCCTCTGTTTCAGAGCACAATGAAAGCCAAAGGATGGCTGAAAGCACCCTGCCCCACGGGAAGAGCAGCGCGGAGCTCTGTGCTGTGGGACAAGCCAGCGCCAGCCAGCCCCACGGTGAGGAGCAAGGCTTGACTACAGGGAGAAATGGAAGCACCCGTCAGGCCCACCAGGGTCCTCATGGTGAGACCCACCCCCAGGTGCAGAGCTGGGGATGAGGGCTCAAATTTACCTCTCCTTTCACCATATGTGGCACGGGTTGGGAACACGGCCTAGTGGAAGGGTTTGTCCCAATGCATGATGACCCCAAAGCTCTCCCATCCCCTTCCAGGCTCATCATCTCCTCCAGCACCCACCGTGGTGCATGCCCTGAAGCATGATGACCCCAAAGCTCTCCCACCCCCTTCCAGGCTCATCGTCCCCTCCAGCACCCACCGTGGTGCAGCCCTGAAGGATGTCCCTGTCCCTCCTCCATAGCCAGGATGGGCTGCGGTATTGGTCTGCACTGACACGTTGCAGTCGAACCCCTGAGTGCAGTGGGCCATTTGCTCTCCCTTGCCATAAATCGTATTCACTGCTGGGACAAAGGCAGGTTGTCTTCCAGGGCCGGAGCTGAGCCTGTTGCTGATGGAGCCAGGGATGGGGCTCAGCCTGACGCTGGAGCTGCAAAGTCAAACGCTCCCCAGGCCTGGCAGGATCAGCCTGCGCTGGGTCCTGCTTCATACCAGTCGTTAGCCTCAGTGAGGGTGCTGCTGGGCTGCGGCAGGCTCAGGCCCAGAACCGTCTCCCCTGTTTGGCAGATGCCCCACGCGTGTCGGCGCTGCCAGAAGAGGTGGGGGTTTATCTGTGCCTGGGCTGCAGCAGGGCTGTGGGAGCGAGAGCCAGGCAAGATGTCTAACTGTGAGGTTCAGCATGTGTCTCTACATCCTGCTCCCTTTCTTGGTACAAACACTGTCCAGATTTCCAACGTCAGAGGGAGAGACACCAGCCAGATTGTTTTACGGTTTCAAGAACTCATAATGTTTTCCAGAGAACAGAGCTGCAGGCCATCTTCTGCAGCGGGAAGAGCCGTGGCAGCCTCCAGTTTCTGCCAACAGCCATCTGACCTCCTCGGCCACCAAAAAAAGGTGACAAAATGCAGGGTACCCTTGGAAAGGCTCTAGAGAGGCCACCCCGCTGCGCCCACATTCAGAGCAGTGTGTGGTGTCCCAGCCCCTGAGGACCCAAAGCCGAGAGCAGCCTCCTCGGGTGCTGCCTCGGTGGGAGTCTCCTTGCAGGGCAGGCAGGTGTGATGGGAGCCAACAGCCCGGGGCCGGTGTGGGACCCCGCTTGGGGGCAGGGCCCAGCAGAGGCCCTGCTTCGGGGGGAATTTCAGGGGTGACTTTTTGGCAAGGTGCTAAGCGGGAGCAGGCTGGACCGGAGACAGGCTGTGTTTTCCGGAGAGGCTGGGAGGATGTGAAGGGAGACACGGCTTTGCAGGAAGCCACGGGGTGACCCAGCCTTGGCTCCCCGCCCCTGGGCCACCGTGTGTCCCGGTCCCGCGGCGCGGCCGAGTCCCAGCTCCGCGCTAGCAGAGCCGCCCGAGCCACGCTGCTGTGCTCGCCGGCCTCT